AGTGGCTGCTGCTATGAGGACGGGGTCGTGTGTACAATAGGCGTGCGTGCAGCGATCGAGCAGTCCTTCACGGCGCGAGATTGCGCGAGATTCTCACGAGAACGTCCCGAGATTACCCACCGAGCGTCCTTCGAGGGGAGGTCGAGGGGAGGTCGAGGGGAGGTCGAGGGGAGGTCGAGGGGAGGTCACGAGGGGAGGCCGAGGGGGAGCCGAGAGGGAGCCGAGGGGAGCTGAGCGTCTTTCGAGAGGAGCCGAGAGGAGCCGAGCGTAGGTGCGCGAGCACTTTGAGGCGGCGGTGCGGCTGGCGCCGGCAGACGCGACTTCGCGCCACCTGCTCGGCCTCTGGTTTTACGAGGCGGCGGGGCGTGTCGTGGGCGACGCCGTGTCATCAACGGAGAAGAACAGTACCAACAACCATGCGTAGGTCGCGGGCCACTGCCGGGGCGGGGGGCACGCTTTCATCTCACAAAGAATGCGATGAGAGCGCGTACATTGTAGGTGGCGGGCCTGGCGAGATAGGAGGGAGATAGGAGGGAGATATGATCTCGCGTACATTGTAGGTGGCGGGCCTGTCTTGGGCGACGCGCAAGGTGGCCGCCGCCCTCTTCGCCACGCCGCCAACGGCTAGCCGTTTGTGCCGAGGCCAGTCTTGTGCCTCGCCAGCAGTGGTTGGGGCACCGCCCTCGTCCTTGAGTGAGTAGGGGAGCCACGCTGAGGCGCTCGCGCATTTCGAGGCGGCGGAGGCGCTCTCTCCTTGCTTCTAACTCAAGACCCTAAGTGTACCAATCAAGACTGGTTCATATTAACTAACACTAAAGGCGCTCTCTCCCGGCTTCTACCTCAAGAACCAGGTCTGCCTCGCGAAGTGCAGTCTGGCGCTCAAGGTGACCTCCCCCCCCCCCCCCCACCCACCCACACACACACACACACACACCACCGCTCACCCACGCGCACCGGGCCTTGCCCTGAGACGCGGAGTCGCGAGGGGTAGCTTGGCACCTCGTGTGTGTGTGGAGAAGTTGACCTGACCTCACCTGACCTCACCTGACCTCACCTGACCTTAGGACAAGCCGGCCGCGCGCCGCTGGCTGGCCTCCGCCGCGGCGATGGCGCCAAAGAGCGCCGATGACGAGGCGTCGCTCGCAGAGGCGAAGAAGCTGCTGGCTTCGTTGTGAAGTCGGGGAGGGCGGGGAAGGCGATACCAACTTTGTGCGACCTCGGGCGGGGGGCAGGAGGAACGTACCCTCTGCCCCGATGCGCCGCGAGCGAGCCAGCGGCCATTCCCGCCTCCCAGCTCGGGGAACTTGCCTCCAGACCCGTCCCGTGCCCGCCGCGTTTCTCTACATGTTCTCTATTAATTTGCATACTAGCCCGGTCGAACACCCCGGGTCGCGATTTTGGCAAGTGAATATGGGGGCATTTTACGATGAAATAAGAATCTAATGCCCGAGAGAAACACATAGACACCCACATGGTTGACCAACCCTTAATAGGTGAGGGTCAGTATGTTCACATTCACACCCAACAGACCGGCTCCAGCACACACGTACGAGCGTCTCAGCGCACACAGCGGCATCCTCCGCGCCTAGGCCTCCATAGCGTCCTCGCCCTCGCCCTCCTCGCCCTCCTCGTCATCGTCCTCCTCCTCCGCCTCGAGCGCCGCCTCGTAGTCAGCGACAAAGTCGACCTCCCCGCACGGCACCTGGTCCTCCTCCTCCCACGTCGCGATCTCCGGGGGCCAGCCCTCCCACAGTACCTTGTAGAGCACCGTCCCCGCCGCGATCTCCTCCCCCTCCCGCCCCGGCACGTCCCCGCCGTCGGCACGACGGCGGCGGCGGGCGCCTCCCGCGCACCGCCGCGGCGATGAGCCCGAGCGCGTCCATGTCGAGGAGACGCACGGCGCTCGAGGCGCCGAGCCGCTCGTGCGTCCCCATCGCAAAGGCGAGGAGCTTGAGGTAGGCGGGGATCTCTGCTGCTGCGGCGGCGCCGCCGCCGCCGCCGCCGCCGCCCGCGTCGGCCGCGGTCGAGGTGATCTTGGGGAAGACGAAGCGCGTCGCCGACTCGATCTCGAGCGCGCGCATCGCCCGCTCGGCCTCGGCCTGGGTGTTGCCGCCGCGCTGGGACGCTGAGCGGAGGCGCGAGCACACCAACTCGCGGCGCTTGTTGTAGTCCTTGACGTGGCGCTCGCATGCCTGCCAGAGCGACCTCACCGCGGGGCTGGCGGACATGGGCAAGGACACCGGCCCGCTCGCGCTCGCCGCCGCGCAGGCAGCCACCCAGCGGGCAAAGATCAAGGCCTTGTTGTGATAGAGCCCGTCCGTCGCCTTCGCCATCTTAGTGGCCAAATTGAGGAGGTAGGCGACGTGCGAGAGGGTGAGGCCGCCCACGGGGCAAGCCACGGCCAGCGCCACGGCGCTCGGCTCCTCCTGGGTCGCCACTGAGGCCAAGGCAGCAGCCACAGCCTGGGAGGAAAAGTGCGCCGCCGACGCGCACTTCTCGTGCGGGTCATTCTCGGAGTTGTCGGGGGCGTGCGAAGCTACCGCCTGCGAACGGCCGGTTGGCAGACGTCATGGCCGGCATGTGCGACCCTTAAGAACCCGCGTGCGACCAGAAGGTCGGCTGTGAGGCGAGGCTGAAGGCAGCCCAAAAACTGGTGGATTTGTGTTGCTGACAGTTGTGGGCGATCCAGCGCGAACTGACGGCAGGTAAGCCGGCAGGTGGGGGGCGGGGGTGTGCCGGGTGGATCCCCAAGCGGGCGAGCCGGGCCCGCGCATAGTTCGCGCTCGGGGGGCGCGCGAGCATGGAAAGACGCACCTCCATCGTCCTTGCTTACCGGCGCTTTTCGGCCGTTGGCACCATCGTTGATTGCGCGGGACTGAAATCCCAAATCTCTCAGCTCGAAGGGGGAATTTATTTGTTTGGGGGGTGTTCGACCGGGCTATGCATACAGAGTCTGGCGTAATCGAGATCTCTGCGAGAGAGTAGTAGATCGCAGACAGTGTAGATCGCAGACCAGGAGAGAGGAGTGCAGGAGATCCTAGCCGATTCTACCACACAGTCGGGCTTGGACCTTGGTTGAAGAGGCTAGTTCCATTTCAAAGTGGCACCGCCCGCGTTGTATCCTGTTCGTAGCCAGGTAGCTGTGAAGAGGATGCGAACCCATCGTCCGATATTGCTTCTTGCTTTTGGTATAGGGCTGAAATTCTTCGGCAAATGGCACACATGGAGTCGGGGGCGAGCGGCTGCCAAGAAGGCGCGCTGTACCCCCTTGCGAGCATGTACGAGGTTGCCCGAAATGCCGCCTGCCGTTTGGTAGATTGGAAGAAGACCCTTGGACCAAAGCAGCCCGGAGAATCGGCGCGCAGTCCCAGACTGACGGCCGGTGGCATGAAGCAAGATCGACTTCGGACCAAGTGTCACGTGACGCAAACGTGACGAAATTGCCAATTTGCGCCCTCGGCCCGACCTCTTGGCTAGAAATGACTCCCCCGATGCTCGGTTTGAACATCTCGCAAGCTGGCGTCGCTCGCATAACTGTGACAGGGCGATCCTCCCCTCGACGGAAGGGAGATCCAGAGCAGCTCCTGCTCTGCCCGCCGCCTGGCTGTTTGGCGACAGCAGAAGCCCGCGCAACTGCGTGGGTCCGCGCCACAGGTAGAGACGTTGAGCTTGGCAATGATTTGGTTGTCGTTCGGTCACGGGGCCTGGCGAGGTAGGAGCAGTGCCGATGCGGCGAATAGTCGTGCTTAGCTTCCTAGGCACCCGCAAATGTGCCCTCAACGCGATGCGTCGGCCGGCGGCGCGAGAGGAGGGCCGTGCGGCCCCGTCGGTGCGCCGCGCTGTCGCTCCGCCGCTAGCCGAGCCAAGGCACGCCATCGCCATCGGGGTGGCGATGGATGCGTGCTGGCGAGGGTCGGGGCGGCGGTCCTGACGCGCCGCTGCGTGGCCGCAGTGGCGCGCTCGACGCCGTGCGTCGAGTAGAGGAGCCGCGACGAGGGCGAGGCCGCCCTGTCGCCGCGTGGCGAGCCAGGCCTGTCCGCCGAGCCGCTGCGAGCCGCTTGCCCGTAAGACGGCGTCGGCAGCGTGTGCAGCTGGCGAGGCGGTGGCCGCATTCGGCTCTCTCCTGGGCATCCGCCGCGTGAGTGCGGTGGTGCTGCCGACGCGATGCCTCGGTTGGCGGCGCGAGACGAGCGCCGTGCCGCTCCGTCGGTGCGCCGCGCTGTTGCTCCGCCGCTAGCCGAGCCAAGGCACGCCATCGCCATCGGGGTGGCGATGGATGCGTGCTGGGGCGGGGCGGCGGTCCTGACGCGCCGCTGCGTGGCCGCAGTGGCGCGCTCGACGCCGTGCGTCGAGTAGAGGAGCCGCGACGAGGGCGAGGCCGCCCCGTCGCCGCGTAGCGAGCCGGGCCTGTCCGCCGAGCCGCTGCGAGCCGCTCGCCCGTGAGACGGCGTCGGCAGCGTGTGCAGCTGGCGAGGCGGTGGCCGCATTCGGCTCTCTCCTGGGCATCCGCCGCGTGAGCGCGGTGGTGCTGCCGACGCGATGCGTCGGCTGGCGGCGCGAGACGAGCGCCGTGCCGCTCCGTCGGTGCGCCGCGCTGTTACTCCGCCGCTAGCCGAGCCAAGGCACGCCATCGCCATCGGGGTGGCGATGGATGCGTGCTGGGGCGGGGCGGCGGTCCTGACGCGCCGCTGCGTGGCCGCAGTGGCGCGCTCGACGCCGTGCGTCGAGTAGAGGAGCCGCGACGAGGGCGAGGCCGCCCCGTCGCCGCGTAGCGAGCCGGGCCTAGGCGGCGTCGGCAGCGTGTGCAGCTGGCGAGGCGGTGGCCGCATTCGGCTCTCTCCTGGGCATCCGCCGCGTAAGCGCGGTGGTGCTGCCGACGCGATGCGTCGGTTGGCGGCGCGGGACGAGCGCCATGCCGCTCCGTCGGTGCGCCGCGCTGTTGCTCCGCCGCTAGCCGAGCCAAGGCACGCCATCGCCATCGGGGTGGCGACGGATGTGTGCTGGCGAGGGTCGGGGCGGCAGTCCTGACGCGCCGCTGCGTGGCCGCAGTGGAGCGCTCGACGCCGCGCGTCGAGTAGAGGAGCCGCGACGAGGGCGAGGCCGCCCTGTCGCCGCGTAGCGAGCCGGGCCTGTCCGCCGAGCCGCTGCGAGCCGCCCGCCCGTGAGACGGCGTCGGCAGCGTGTGCAGCTGGCGAGGCGGAGGCCGCATTCGGCTCTCTCTTAGGCACCCGCCGCGTGAGCGCGGTGGTGCTGCCGACGCGATGCGTCGGCTGGCGGCGCGAGACGAGCGCCGTGCCGCTCCGTCGGTGCGCCGCGCTGTTACTCCGCCGCTAGCCGAGCCAAGGCACGCCATCGCCATCGGGGTGGCGATGGATGCGTGCTGGCGAGGGGCGGCGGGCGGGGCGGCGGTCCTGACGCGCCGCTGCGTGGCCGCAGTGGCGCGCTCGACGCCGTGCGTCGAGTAGAGGAGCCGCGACGAGGGCGAGGCCGCCCTGTCGCCGCGTAGCGAGCCGGGCCTGTCCGCCGAGCCGCTGCGAGCCGCTCGCCCGTGAGGCGGCGTCGGCAGCGTGTGCAGCTGGCGAGGCGGTGGCCGCATTCGGCTCTCTCCTGGGCATCCGCCGCGTAAGCGCGGTGGTGCTGCCGACGCGATGCGTCGGTGTTGGCGGCGCGGGACGAGCGCCGTGCCGCTCCGTCGGTGCGCCGCGCTGTCGCTCCGCCGCTAGCCGAGCCGAGGCACGCCATCGCCATCGGGGTGGCGACGGATGTGTGCTGGCGAGGGTCGGGGCGGCAGTCCTGACGCGCCGCTGCGTGGCCGCAGTAAAGCGCTCGACGCCGCGCGTCGAGTAGAGGAGCCGCGACGAGGGCGAGGCCGCCCTGTCGCCGCGTAGCGAGCCGGGCCTGTCCGCCGAGCCGCTGCGAGCCGCTCGCCCGTGAGGCGGCGTCGGCAGCGTGTGCAGCTGGCGAGGCGGTGGCCGCATTCGGCTCTCTCCTGGGCATCCGCCGCGTGAGCGTGGTGGTGCTGCCGACGCGATGCGTCGGCTGGCGGCGCGAGACGAGCGCCGTGCAGCTCCGTCGGCGCGCCGCGCTGTTGCCCCGCCGCTAGCCGAGCCAAGGCACGCCATCGCCATCGGGTTGGCGACGGTTGCGTGTTGGCGTGGGAGGCGCGACTCATTGCGCATCCGTTCCTGGGGCGGCATCACAAGCGCTGCTGGGCTGCCGGGTTGGTCCTCGAGCCTCTGCTGTCACCAGTCGAAGCGGTGTCGGCGTCGAAGCGAGCCGAGGACCGCCGCGGCTCGGCAAACAGGGCGCCGTGTGTCGCCGCCTCGTCTTTCTTCTTTTCGCGAGAGAGCGGGAGCGTGAGCACGCGAGGCGTGGCGAGGACGCCTGAGGGGGACTGCCCGCAGGACAGCGGCGTCGCGTGTCCATGATCGCGGCGGCTCAGGCTCGCTTTTGCCCCAGGGCAAAGGTGGACACGTCCTGTGGTCGTGCGATGCCCCTCTGCGAGCCGCCGTTCACGGCGTCATTCCACACGCTCCCTTCTCGTTCTTAGATACACGTGATATCGTAGATAAGTTGTAACATAACCTTGATTTGACCATTTGCGCCATTTTGTCCCTCTCGGTGCATTCCAGAGGCAGCTGTGACCCCGCCGAGTGGACGGGGGCACTCAGCAGGTGGCGCGGTGTGCCGCCGTCCACTCGGCGGGGTCGCAGCTGCCTCTGCGCGTCCTGGGGAGGGACAAAAGTGTCGCCGCCGAAGGCGACTCGACGCCACCGAGATCGGAGATCAAGCTCTGACAGGTCGCACGTCGCTCCTTTGACGCCGACGTGACTCACCCGTGCAGATCACATCAGGACACGGTCTCGACACGCTCGGTACGACGCCTGCGACCCGTCTTGGGTCAGGTGGCACGACGCTCATCGCGCCTGGCAGCGCTGCCGTGCAGGTTGCCACGACGAGGTCGAGCACGCTTCTATACGCTCGCCCAGCCTTCCTTTCCATCCCATTAGGTAGCCTGGGAGCGGTGGCGGTCAGAGGCAAAGCCTGCGAGGGGTGGTGGAACCACATGTCACGGCTACTGCCGGCTCGACCCACGATAGCCTCCGGAGGCTGACTTTGCGGCACCATCATCGGACGATGTCGACGAGTTGGGTCGCGCTCGCGGTAGCCAGATGACCCCTCATACTAGGAGCATCGGCCATGGCCGTAGGGAGCGCGGGGCAGGGCGCTGGGAGCAACACGGAGCTCCGTTGGACGCGTTTTCAAGATTAGCGTGTCAGAGTGAAATGGAACTAGCCAGACTTGAAAGATTGAGATCACAGATTGTGGATCGTGTTGGCCGAGTTGCCAGGGAGCAGGGTCAAAGGTGGAGATTGGACTTTGGAGATGGAGAACACAGATCGTAGATCCTCGCGCCGGGCATCCACCACTGGGGCGTTCCGCTGTCGGGCGATCTCGTGATTAGTAAAGGCCCGTGTGTAGCTCTTACGAACATTCCCGAAGGAGGGCTGCTGACAGGGTTTGAGAGAGAGAGAGAGAGGAGAGAGAGAGAGAGAGAGAGAGAGAGAGAGAGAGAGAGAGAGAGAGAGAGAGAGAGAGAGAGAGAGAGAGAGAGAGAGAGAGAGAGAGAGATTGCCAGAACAGGTGTGTATTCTTTTGCTTGGGCGGCCAGCATGCCGGTAGGTAGGGTAGGTCTGGGCCCTCCCGTCGGGTTTTTCCCTCTCTTCACGCCGGAATTTTCAGAAAAAAGAAATTTTCCGCGGAAATCACGACGTCAACCCTCCCCAAGTGGGTGATCTGGTGCTTGTAGGGCTTGAGAGTGGCCTGTCATGTCTCAGGAAGGACTGTGGTTGCAGGAGAGTACCACCAACCATCACTCTAGTTGGTATAGTACCCCACCTTCACCCGTCCCATGATTTCTTTTTTAGTTCCCATAAGTAGGGTTGGTAGGTAGGTAGGTAGGTAGGGGCACCGCAGGGGCCGGTCGGGTTTTTGCAGAATTTCAGCATGCTGGCCGCCCAAGCAAAAAGAATACACACCCGCCAGAACGGCGTAATAAAGCGAGAGAAGGACGCACGTCGAATGCCGCATGCATGGCTCCGGGTCAACACGACGTTGAACCACGCAGATCTCGCCCGCCTAGTGCCGGGTATACAGCCAGCCACCGACGAGGAGTGGTTGCAACGGCACCACACGGTTTTGCAGCTCAAGAAGACGGTTGCCAGTCATCATGCGCCGCTCTCGGCCAATCAGCAGAGGAGCACAGAGCAGTGGATACGGACCCTCGATCCTAGTCACGCGACGCTGGTGCAGATCGGAGCCAACCTGCACCAGAGCACGAGGGCCGCAGTGCGTGGCGCTCGGATGGCGTGCCCTCCTGCTTGAGCCCGCGCCGCCCATCTTTGCGAGGCTGCGCGCCAAGTATTCGAATCGCACGCGTTACCGGCGCGTGCGGACGGTGAACGCCGCGGTGTGCGACCAGTGTGGGTCGGAGCCGGTGCCGTTCTGGCACGTGGACACGTCAAACGCGACAGGGAACTGGGGCTCTTTGCACGCTGATGCTAGGTGCCGACAGGGCCATCGGCAGGCGTGTGAGCAGGAGCGTGACCAACGGCGAGCACGTCCGCCTCGAGGCGATCGACACCTTCATCTCCGAGATCTCATCGCTCAGCGCATCGCACCTCGTCCAGTTCCAACGGCTCTACACGACGCAACGCGGCCCGTGCGCCCTGTGCGGCCAGCTACTGGCGGGCCGTGCCTACGACGCCTCTTGCAGCTCGCGCGTCATCCGCGACAACATGCGCTCGACTACCGTGCGCTGCTACTGCATGCAACAGGAGCTACCGTGGGAGCACGTCTCACTCTTGACCATTGGTGCGCACACACACTAGCGCCGCAGACGGGCCTGCGTCGCATATACTGACGCACGAGGGCCCCGCGCAGATGCGGAGGGTCACGACTACAGTGTGCTGTCTCAGTACCCGTTTGCCTCCAGTCCGGTCCAGCGGGTCGTCTTCGAGGCGACGCACATGCGCAACGTCGACTTCGATCGCGCTGCCGCGCTGCTCGATTCGCATGGCTTCGTCTTTCTGAAGGGCGGCTACAAGGCCGGTGACAACGTCTGGCACCACCCCGGACGTTGACTGCCAACCGGCCATGCGCGCCCGCCGGTGGGCGTCCATGCGGCGGAGCCGCCGCTAGAATTGTTTTGGGGCTGAGGCCCTGCCTCTCACTCGGAGAGCGTATCGATTTCCCCCCCAGAGGAGTGTTTTCCGTCGCGTGAGAAAAGTGTTGGTAGGGAAAGGGGGAGGAAGCTACAAAGGCTTGACTAATAGCCGCCGTCGGAGTGGAGCGTGCTCGAGGTGGCCGTCTGGCTCGAGCACCGCTCCCCGGCTCTCTCTCGCACGCCTCGATCTCACCGAGCGCGCCGCCCTGCGCGCGACTATGAGCAAGGAGAAGATGGACGGCGTCTCCCTCGCTCTGTGCGCGGAGTTCGAGCTCCTGCTCAAGCTGGGCGTAGCCGCAGGTGGCCGCAGTCCCTCGCACTATCATGACGGGTAAACTCCCACATAGGCTCATCGCGTTTGGAGACGCAGGGGTAGCCAGGGTAGCCCCAAACTCGTGGTCAGATTTAACCCACCTCGCCTCGGCCGCGCAGGCTCCGCGGTGCAGGTGGCCCGCGCGGTCGAGCAGCTGCTGGTAGCGAAGCCTCCCGAGTTCGCTGGGCGTAGCACAAACAACGGACGACCCTCCGGCTAACTAAACTGGGTTGACGGCCGGCAGATCCATTGGGCGAGGGAGCGAGCGGGCGTCGCGTGACGCGTCACACCCCTCAGCCTCTCACCGATGGCAGAGCGTATGGGCTGCGCAAAAATCGCCTTGGAGCACTTGGAGTGCAGTCATTAACCTCACATCCAGGGCCGGGGAGCTAAGAAGCGCACCCAGCGGGCCGGATGATCGGCATCGGGTTACGGGCTAGAGAGCCCTAGCCCTGGGGGGGTGCGCGTTCGCAGGGAAAGGGCCGTAAAGTAAACACGGGTCTCCGACGGTTAGTTCCGTGTACCGGGTTTCCCCTTAACTGCAGAACGCCCCCTCTACTCGGAGCTAACGGACACACAACACTGTACTCCACGCACGTACACGGATACGCTGGAGATTGGTTTTTTTTTAAAGGCAGAGGGTGCCGTGTTTGTGCTCTGCATCCCGCATCGCGATGGGAGCCTGCGGCAGCAAACAAAAGCTGGCGCACAATCGAGCCACCGCCGCCAACCAGATATTGGACGCACAGTACGAAGCCCACATCCAGGATCTGGAGACCCGGCTCGAGGAAGCGGAGCGAGCGGCGCGGCAAGCGCAGGACGAGGTAGCAGAATATAAAGTCCAGGCACAGTTGGCCAGTAGCGCGGCGCTATCGGCGCAGGTCGCCGCGCTCGAGGTGCGGCTCAAGGAGTATGAGGCGCCGAGCACGCCCCTTGCCGTCTCCCCTCCTTTCCGGAGCCTTGTCCCGTCGGCCGATCCGTTCGGTCCCCTGGATGGTGGCTCGCCGTCGGCCGATGCAGCGGCCGACGATCGGAAGCGGCGGGCGGCGCTCGCGACACGCGTGCAGGCGTGCTACCGGGGCCACTACGCGCGGGCAAAGCTCGAGGCGGCGCAGCTCGAGGAGCGACAGGCGTCGCTCTCGCGGCAGAAGGCGGAGGCGCGGCTGCGCGGGCTGCATGCCAAGCAGGCGCTGTCCCCCCGCGGCGAGGGCGAGGGCGAGGGCGGCGAGGCAGGCGCGGAGGCGGCGGAGGCGGCGGTGGCGGAGGCGGCGGTGGCGGTGGCGAGGCTGCAGCGGGAGGAGGCGGAGGTCGCGGCAACAGACCTTGTCAATAAAGCTCCTCCCTACAGCCTCCCAGGAACGCCATGGGCATGTCGAGAGTGCCACTTGAAGCAAGTACGTCTCTGTCGTGAGAGTAGGCGATGCGAGAGGCGGAGGCGGAGGCGGAGGCGGAGAAGGCTGTCGCGGCGGAGGCTGCTCAGCAGAAGCCTTGGGAGCCGTGTCTGACTCCGCGAGGAGCGGCCACGCGGGAGAAGGCAAAGGCATACGCCGAAGACGCGTGGGAGAGGGCGCGGCGTCCCGCGCGAGGGCGACGAGTTGTGCAGATCGGCGCTGCTCAGCGCATTGCCATGTGGTCAGGCGAGGCGCGACTCCCAGGCGAGGCGCGCAGCTCTC